CATAAGTTTTCATTTATCTCGGCTTAGTACCTAGGAATGGGTATCAGTGGGCTATAGTATGTGTAGAAAGCTGCTAAACAGTCTCTAAAGTAAGTATACCACTTTGTATACCACCAGCAGTGTACAAGATTTCTAGTTTCTCCATGTCCTCCCCAGTAATAGATATTGTCATTTTTAAAGGCCTTTTCAGTGAATAGGTGAGGATATTTTGTTATGGTTTTAGTATGTGATTTTGAAATGGTTATCATGTTGAGTATATTTTCAAGTGCTTAATTGCTACTCGTGTGTGTGTGTGTGTGTGTGTGTGTGTGTGTGTTGTCTTTTACCCATATTTTAAGTTGGATTACTCGACTTCTTTTTTTTTTTTTTTTTTTGTGGAACCAGGGATTGAACTCAGGCCTTTGCACTTGCCAGGGAAGTGCTTATTCCACTGAGCCCTCTTCCTGGTCCCTCACTTGACTTCTTAATGAGTTTTTTAAGATCAATTTTATTGGTACATCTTAAATATGCATAATGGTCACCTTCATCATAGGGAATGCATACCTGTACATGATATATCTTGTTTCCTCTTTTTTCTCCAGTCCCCACTCCTTATTTCAATGCCTCTCCCATCCCTACTTATAAAAGCTTTGTTTCTGTTTCTCATTGTTTTTCTTCTATTATTTTTTCTTTTCCCTTCCTTCCTTTTCCCCAACTCTCTTCATATTGTTATTTTTTTTTATGTATTTGGTACAGGGTTATACTGAGAAGTTCGGACTTATAGTGATCCTCCTGCTTGCAGCCTGCCCAGAGCTGGGATTACAAGTGTGCGCCACCATGTCCAAACTTGATAGCCTGCTCAGTGTGTCCTGGGGGCCAGGCCAGGGCAGCATGCTGGACTGGGGATCGAACTCTGGCCCCTGCCCTTGCCAAAGCAGGCACTTAGTGCACTGAGCTATCTTGCCAGCCCTTCATTTAGTTTTGAGAGTCAACTCACACTAGTTTCTTGCCAGCTGTGTACCCTATAAATATTATCCCCAACCTATGGCCTACATTTTCATTTTTATAATTTTTTCAAAGAGCAGAAGTTTTAAATTTTGAAAGGGCCTAGTGCATCAAATTGCTCTCTTATGGGTCATATTTTTAAATGAGCATCTGTGAAACTTTTGTATAACTAAAGGTCACAAAGTTTTTTCTCATACTTTTTTGTAGACATGTGATCATTTTACATGTATATTTTACTTTTAAGTTTATTATTTATTTGTCATTGATTTTGTATGTGGCATGATTATTTATATCTCCAAAACTCTTGTTACTTCTGGCTCTCACTTGAAAAATACTTTTACAGATGCTCAACAAAAATTTTAATCCTTATTTCACAAATGAGAAAATTGTTGAGAAAAATGTTGTTTTATTTCTTAAGATCTGACAGTTGATAAAAAGTGAAACTGGCCTTTCAGTCCTCTCCTGCATAAAAGCTGATGGGGGCCCTGAGATCAGTAATAAAAGGCTTTCCAAATTCCAATCTGGCTGATCTGGTTCTTATTCTGAGAGACCCATAACATTTGGGGGCTCATCCAGGATCCCCTTTACTGGGGATCAATCTGAGGAACCAGAGTTTTCGGAAACCATTTCCCAGGGGAGACTTTCTGGCCCCAGGATGGTCTATGAAAACTTACAAATTTAATCATTCAAACCTCCGAGCCATCTGTAAGTTCTTATGGTCCAGAGAGTCATCTTTGGAAATCTGGAACACCCTGACCAGGTCACTTACATTCAGGCTTGGACTGATCTTATTCATGACCCTCTGAAATGGCTCAAGGATTGCTGTGCCAGACGCCATCCCCAGACGACCGGACAATCCCACATGGTCACACCAGCAGTTCCAACTGATAAGAATTGGCTGTGACCCCCGACCATCACCCTCAGAACCTGCTCCTTTCTCCTGGCAGTCGATTTTCTGCTTACCCAAGATAAAATTGCCTGGTGTCTATTGAAGGCCTTTAGGTAGAACCTCGGGAGAATGTCTCTGACTGCCGGTCAACAACTTCAACCCCTTTCAGCCTGAAGAAGACAGAGCGGTCATCACCCATACACCCTCATGGAAGTCCAGGTTACTTCTTCAGAAGAAAAATGTTGCAGGCAGCTGAGTTACATTAAAAATATTATAGGCAATCAGACAGGGCTAGGACCTCAAGGAGACAGAATTAAAGACAAGGTGACTTTACAGCTTGAGAGAGACGGATGCTGCCCACTGTGGGCCAGACCTCAAGACAAAAGAGGAAACTACCTGGCTGATGTTATAGCTCAAGAGGTGGCACAAAAACCAGTGGGGACATGGGAGATATTGCCTGTTCTAGAGTTCTAGAAAAACCCACCTATGGGGCGGGGGAGATGGCTCAGAGGAATAAGTGCTCCCCTGGCAAGCACAAGGGCCTGAGTTCAATCACCGGTTCTGAAATTTAAAAAAAAACCACCTACTCAGACTCTGTTGTTAACTAATGTTCCTTGCTGTTTGAGTAGATCAGCAGTGGTGACCCCATGTCAAAATAATTTGATACAACATCACCACAAAGGGTCATGAATGTGTAAGACTTGAGATATTTAAACATATGATATTTAGTGTTGTTAAAAACTTATTTGGCAAAATATCAGAACAACATGTAAAACAATTGGGGTGTAGTGTAGCCAAAGGGAAAAAATGGCTATAGAGATTTGTTAAAAGAAAAAACTGGAGACTATTCTCTATGCCTCCTTATACCTGCCTCCAGGTCACATGCAAAGTGACCCACCTATCTCTACCACTTTCCTAGAACTCCTTTTCCAGAACTTTTTCTCCTCAAACAGGACCTGTTCTCCTGTTTCTCTTGGCTCTATTGGGCCCTGTTTTATAAACTGCTTAACTAAGTATGTTCAAAAAATCCAGACCATCAAGTTGATAGTGCTAAGATCTAACTAGGAACCCCTCATGTTCCTGGGACAATTATAACAACTTGGGAGTTTCAGCTAAATCAATGATTTGATTCCCAGATTAAAACCAGTGGGGAATGAAATGGGTCAACTCACATTTTAGACTATAAATGTAAATCTTGTGTTTTCAGTTGTGTAAATGTATATTCACCTACTGTTCTAGGTTGTTTAGTAAATAGTGGCTTTTTCTTGCTGTTTGCTAGATAAAATTCCTACCTCACCAATTCCTGTAACCTTCATCAATTCCTGTTAACAAAGTTAGCTTATGGAGATGACTTCAAAAGGAAATTAAATGGGCTTTAACTTCTTGTAACCTCAGGCTATGTAAGGCTACATGCAAGTACTTAGGTGCAAAATAACCAGAAACTAAGAGAAAGCCCCAGGAAATGTACTTTGGGTAGTGGTTACACTGACCCTGAAAGCATTGTTTTGTGTCAGACAATGAATATGTTTACCAAATGTGGTTCCATGTTTTAAAACCCCCCTGCTTCCTGGGCTGGCTGCCTTTTGGCCCTCTCCTGCATGAGGGCTGATTGGGGGCCCTGAGCTCAGTAATAAATGGCTTTCCAAATTCCAAAAAAAAAGAAGAAGTGAAACTGTGAGGCTGGAGAGATAGCTCAGCAATCTAAGCACCTGCCTGGCAAGTGCAAGGACCCAGGTTTGACCCCTGGTACTGCATGCTGCACTACTGGGCACCATACTGGCCACAGAAACTGGGCATGGTGGCACACGCCTGTAATCCCAGTGCTGGGGAGGCTGAGACAAGAGGATCACTATGAGTCTGAGCTGCATAGTGAGACCCTGTACCAAATAAACAAACCTTAAAAAAAAAAGAAGTGAAAGTGTAATAAAAGGCCATGTCTCTTGCTGTCCTGGGCCACAATTTTTGGAAGCAGGCAGCTAGGGCTCAGGACAGGACCTCAGCAATATGAAGATTTCCAATAGAGGGGCTAAAAAACCTATTTGTCACCAATATGCAAAACTAGCACTAACTGTGTGCAGACTGCACTTCTCTAGTTTCCTTGGGACTCTACAGCTAAAGAGAGAGCCAGAAAATGACCTCAGAAGGCGATACTATTTATAATGCACACATCTGGCAAGCAACTTATGGGAGCTGACTCTCCAAACTCAATAAGCACAGGAGTGGGGGAAAGGAAGGGAAATCAAAAAGAGAATAGAAGGAAAAAAATGGAAACAAAGTTTTTGTAAATAAGTCTGCCAAGAGGGGTTGAAAGGAGGGGGAAGTGGGGGGGGAAAGAACACTGCTCACTAAACCTTTTTTGATGGTAATAATCATGCGGACTTCCAGTGTGTTTAGAAGAGAACTCTGAAAGTAATTACAAAGTTTGAAGTTAAAACAAAGAGGAAAAGTTAAGGGAACTAAAATAATCCCAGAAATAAAAAAAAAGAGGCTCAAGAGGACCATAAAGTTTTGGGCTTTCTTTCTGAGGAGCTGAGTGAGGGGAAATGGGCTGGGAAAATCTATGTGAGGCAGTAAATTTCTTGCTCCCTGTTGAGGGTTAGTCAGGTTCTTTGCCTTTAAAGATAGAATAAACTTTTTTGTTTGAGTTTGGAGTCAGGAATTTTCCAAACATGGTTTATGGTGAAGGATTTCAACAAGAGAGTTCAATGACTCTCTTGCACATTATCCTTGGAAATCTTCAAGTTTCCATCTACCTTTCATCCTGATACAGTCCCACAAAGCTTTTCTGTATGACCTTCTCTGTTCCTTAGTCTTAGCATCTTTACACTGTCATTCCAGTGACTGAGACAAGCCTGACTATAGCACCTAAGAACTTATCCTCATGGTCGTCATCCCTGAATCCAAGTCTCTACTGAAGGTGCTGCCAAATCAGATCCCAGAACTAGAAACATTCTATTTTATAACTAACTTCTACTTGCACACCTCTCTGACCATCATGGAACAGCAGCCTGACAGTGCAGACAAATGCAGTGACCCCTCAGAGATGCTAGAAAAGAACTGAAATGTCTACCACCATAAGCAGACACCACATTAAGCTACAGTGTCTTTGTGCTTCTTTTCTCTGCAGCATGGGTAGGTGCTCTCGCCATGGGCATGATCTTCTTCTGTTCTCCGATTGTGAGTATATTCACTGACCGTTTGGGTTGCCGAATCACAGCAACTGCAGGAGCTGCTGTTGCTTTCATTGGCCTCCATACCAGCTCCTTTACGAGGTAAGACCAGAGGTTTGTGGTTACTTCCCCAAGGCCAAAGATGGGCTTCATTCAGGGACTTCAGGTAGGGACACTCTACCCTGTGGTAATGACTGTGTAAGGACCCTGAAAAGTTCATGATGAAGGGAACTCATCTAGTTAGGCTTTGCAGGACACATTTGTAGGGAATGTCCCCAAAGAGGACCTAACCATTCCGGAGTGTTAGGAGGAGCCTAAGACTGGTCGTTCCCAAATCTGGGCCCAAGTCCACTGTACCTCAGACTTTCTATCTGTAACATAAGAGCATGAAAGCAGGTGGTCTTTCCAGGACCCTTGAAGCTTCACCATTCTATTCTCCTTCAATGTGCCACCCGTCTCATGACCTCACTTTCCCTCCCAGGAGCAAATTACTTGAGTCAACCCATGTAAACATCTAGCATTCCAAGATTCCAGAAGGAATCTTATGATGGAAAAAAGAAGTCAGCTGAGCCCAAAGCTTTTTATCATGTCTGTCCCTTTTGTCTGGTAACTGGTTTCTAACAGAAGGATAATTTGGGACAGACTGATTCATGTGTTGGGCAAAAGAAGGACGTTTAGTAATATCCCTCACCGAGGGACAGATCCAAAATCCAGCAATTTAGGCAGGTACAGACTAAACTCAAACCCTAATCCCTCTGGTCCAGTGGCAGAAGTTGCTAGTGTTAGGCAAGGAACAGGCCACAACTCATTTTCTGCTTTCCTCTCAGCCCCACAGAAGCAGTGTACAGGAGAGGGGAGAATAAATCCCCTACATCACAGCTGAAGGAATATGGGATTCCTAAAGAACTCCAATGACTTTCTTCCAGGCCCTTTGGAAGTTTTAGTATCTCTTTCTGCCAGTCTGCCTAGGCTGACATATGAGGATGCTGGCCAGAAGGCATGGAAATGGCCACAGTGACTTCTCTGGAATTAAGTAGAGCTAACTTGTCAGACATGTACTTTCTAAGCTTCACTCCCCAGAGAAGGGCCGTGAATCTGTAGGCATAAGGTTCCACTCACACAGGAGAATAATTGTATTTTGCTCAAGTAGGACCTATAAGGGTGAGCCAGTTTTCATGCCTTGAGCATTCCATCTGCCTTTCTTGCCCTCCAGGAGAGCTCAGATTTGCTTGTAATGATTTCTTGCTTCTATCCCATCCAACTGGGACAGAGAAGGGAAAAGACGTGTCCTTCCTGGAACCTATTCAGTTTCCCCAGAGAGCAGCTCCGTATCATTTTAAGACACCTCTGGTGGTCGACCTCATCTGCCCTCATCAAGCTAGTGCCTGGTTTCTTGTGGGAATGAGCAAGGCTTCAGAAATACTTTCAGTCTCAGCAGTCCATACCGTAGCAAGGTCTGTTTTTTGAGGCTGAGCAGAGCAACATGTAAACAAATTAGCAAAATCTGGATCTCATTTCCCTTCCAAATGGGCAAAGTCACCAAAGGCAAAGGAGACTAGATGTGCTGTCCTCTGGCACTTTTCTTTAGGCACATTGGAGTAAGTATGATGCTTTCCAGCCCCATGTCCCTGAGTACATTTGCTCTTTCTGTAAGAACATTTCCAGAGCCAAGAAACTTTCTGGATGGTTTCACGTCCAGTGAACAAATGTGGCTAGAGCTTTAAGTCATCCTTCCTTTTGTTTCAAAAAGGACTCTGTTCCTTCTCATGACATGGAATAGGGCAAAGTATAGGTCTAGCTGATGAGACTTCAACAAGCCCACTCAGGAGCTTCCAGTTCTGGGGCCCAAATAGAAGTACCAAACAATACCCTGAACTAAATACCATGTTTTGTTACCATAGCCCCTTCTCTGAAGGCCTATTTCCTCTCACTCAGATGAGGCCTCATCCCATGCCATTGCTAGAGGGTGCCTAAAGTCTCATGGCAGGAGGCCCAAACAGACATGAAAGAAGAGAAGCAGTGAGCTTTACCTATATGTTCCACATGGAGACACCTGTTTGAAACCCACCTCCCTGCTCATGTCCAGTGAACACAAGGAACAGTGTGATAGCTATCCTGGAAAACTAGTACCATAGGATTTCTGTAGCATAGACCCAGACCCTCAGTATGAAGATTGGCTCCCTTTTTAGGAATGAACTGTCTGGCCTAGAAGTGTAATGGGCAATTAAGTGGTCAGATAAGAACTATTTCAAAATATATGCGGACATCAAAACACAAACCCTTTACTAGATTGTGTCAATATTGTCCAAGGAAAATAGCTGGCCAAGCTGACCTTCCCATGGTCTTTTACTTCTGACATTTTGCCTTCTACAACAGAGGTTTATGGTCACAGCAGAGTCTTAAGAATTTTAAGCCAGGATCTGTCTTCTTTGGTCTGGCCCAAAACTTCTTTGAGGCTTCCTTTCCTGTAAAGCAGCCAGGCTATTCTGGGGAAACTAATCCATACCATGTCCAGAAACAGAGGTATTATTCTGGAAATTAAAGAGAGCTTACCTCAGGATACCATCCATGGAGATTATCCAGGGCCTAAGGTAAAGGTGTTAGGACATCTGGACTTTGGACATGGTTGGGGAGAGCATGTCTGTCAAATTATGAGCCATTCTCTAAGCATGAAGGAAGACTAATGAGTCTTATGTAGGCTCTCAAACTTCCAGGATCTTGGCTCTTTGAAGAACTTTGCTATTACTTGGGGAAAAGCTTTGGCCACCGGTCTACTCATACTGTCTACATGAGCAGTCTCTCCAAGGCACTGACTTATTCCCCATAGCACTTTATGTGACCTTTGCATAGGCGGTTTCTGGCTTGCTTTTGAATAGTCATTGGCAGGGTGCTATGCTGCATGTTCCAAAGCAAGCCAGAAACAGCCTATGGAAAATCTCTGAAGAAAGGTTTTGGAATAAGAGTGGTGGGATGGCAGTCTCAGGAGGCTAAAGGGGGAAACAGATGCCATGCTGATCAGGTTGTTGAAGATAATTTTTGATGTCTCTCCCACAGTTCTCTAAGCCTGCGCTACTTCACCTATGGAATACTCTTTGGTTGTGGCTGTTCCTTCGCCTTTCAGCCATCCCTCGTCATCCTGGGCCACTACTTCCAACGCCGCCTGGGTCTGGCCAATGGCATTGTGTCTGCTGGGAGTAGCATCTTCTCCATGTCCTTTCCCTTCCTTATCAAGATGTTGGGGGATAAGATCAAGCTGGCCCAAACCTTCCAGGTGCTGAGTACCTTCATGTTTATCCTTATGCTGCTTTCACTCACCTACCGGCCCCTGTTGCCCAGCTCCCAGGATACTCCAAGCAAGAGAGGTGTCCACACCTTGCACCAGCGCTTTCTGGCTCAGCTTAGGAAGTACTTCAACATGAGAGTTTTTCGCCAACGTACCTACCGCATCTGGGCCTTTGGGATTGCTGCTGCAGCCCTTGGCTACTTCGTTCCCTATGTACACCTGGTGAGGAAGACCAGGCTGGGCCCACCCCACCCCACCCCACCTCACAAAGTTACCCTCAGCCCTCCTGGAGTGCAGGGGTGGGGGTGGAGGATACTGAAAGGGCAAAGCTGAGATGTTTCAGAAAAAGAACAAAGGAAAGCATAGTTGGAGGTAGCCAGTGGGGAAAGCACAGGTCAAAGGAGGACTTCAAAGAAAAAATAGGGGTAGGGAAGCTCCTGAGGGAAAGGTCCATAGACCACAACTTCCATTACAGTATAAAATCTGGATGGATTTTTAGATGATGACCATAACTGTAATGCAAGGAACTGGCCCAAATGGCTCAAGACAAGATTTTCTATGATTGTGCTCTGTGCAATACCAGTCCTTGTGGTCAAATTATTTTGATTAGGAAATAATATACTCCACCTTTCTAGCTTTACATTGTGTAGTAATCTCTTTAAGGTATGAATACTGCAGCAGAAACACATATTCAGCTGTATTTAACCCAACATTCACTGAACTACATGGCCACAAAACTGTTGGTTCTAGTCCACCTGCTAGCCTCCATTGACTGTTTCTCAGAACACATTTTAGAGGAGTTACTTGGAAGATGGTAGATCATTCACTTCTGGTAATCTGATGTTGCCCCCACCTGACAGCTTTGGGTCAGGGTATAGGGAAAGTATACAGGAACCCCTAAGGAGAGTTCAGTTGTTACAGCTATATTCTGCGCCACCAAGGCTTAGACAGAACATAGAGATAACTACAAAAGGGAGAGAGATACAGCAGTTAGGGCTCTTGTCCAGGGAAATGAGCAGTAAAGGTACTGTATATACCAGCACTTGTTCAGGCAGCTCCCCTTCCTCCTCCCGTTCTGGTGGTTCTGACGTTATGCCTTTCAGATGAAGTATGTGGAAGAAGAGTTCTTGGAAATCAAGGAGACCTGGGTGCTTTTGGTGTGTATTGGGGCTACCTCAGGCCTCGGGCGTCTTGTGTCAGGCCATATCAGTGACTCCATTCCTGGACTTAAGAAGATCTACTTACAGGTGAGTGTTACCTGCTATCTACTGTGAGGACAAACAGCCTACCTCAGATTATTCCCAGGCCTTGGGATAGAATGGTAGGGTATGCCACCATAATCCCTTAGGCAACAGCTCCAGCATCAGTTTTGTGCAACATGGAGAAGTCAATCAAATTCTCTGAGCTTCAGTATCCTTCAGTATCTTTTGCTTTCAGACCAAGGTAATAATTCTTGTTGTACCTCCTTCACAAAGCCTGATTAAAATTAATCATATCCTTTGTGTTATTTAATGGTGTCAACAATCTTATTTGCTGGGGCTGGAGAGATGGCTCAGTGGTCTAAAGCACCTACTTAGAACAAGCTTAGCAAAGCATCAGGACCGCGGTTCAATCCCCCAGCACCACATGCCAGCCAGCCCCGCCCCCTGATGGGCTGAGCTGGCCACACACACACACACCACTCTCTCTCTCTCTCTCTCTCAAATAAATAAAAATTATTTAAAAAAAATCTTATTTGCTGTAACAAGCTTATTTTATAGGTGGGTCATTTTTGTCACATAGTTGTGTATGCATTTCCTAAAGGAGAAATTGAGATGCTTCAGTTCTTATTCCTAACTTCTGTCTAGTTATGTCAAAACATCCTGGGCAAAGTTCAAAGTACCCCAAAAAGAAGGTCCTCAGATGGCATTATCCTTTTCCAAAACCAACCAACCAAGAACAATTATTCAAGATAACTGTAAAGTGTATATGGAACCTTTAGAATGCTTGTCAGAAAGTTTTCTTTAATATTAATAATGTCTCTCTACCTGAAAGCTCCTCCTGTGACTTGACCAAGGTCAAACTGAGGAGAAAAATTAGCCCACAGTAAATACTACTTTCAGTACTACAATAGAGACTTACTCCATTGGTATACTACATTCTGTTTGGAACTCTTTGCTATCCATAGTACTTCATAGCTAGTGTCTCTCCTCTTGCTCTGGGCCCAAGCCTTTCACATCTCATACTTTTAGAATCTCTTGGCCTCAAGCACTGGTTTTCAAATATCATCTTATCAATGGATACCATGACAATGCCAGAAAATGCTAGCTCTCATGTTCCCTCTCCAGGCCTCATCTTTCCTCACTTGTTCAGTGACAACAATTCTTTCCTTTCCTATGTTACCTTACAGGGTCAAAGGAAATATTTGCATGACTAGGTTGTAATGTTCCTCATAGTGGCAAAGTTTTCCTTACACTGTGGGCAGCCGCTGTATAAGTGCTACAAAAGCCACTTTCTGTGAACTAGGCTTTTGTCTGGTTTGCATACAGATGACTACTGAAATCATTAAACTTGTTTACCTGACTGTTATACCATCTTTCTGAATTGGCTCATACGGCACAAATAGTCCATTTGGAAAGTGAGTGAGTTTGGACTCATCCCCCAAGAAAGCCCTGAAACTATTTCCAAGGAGCTCTGCCTATACTCGCAGCAGGGATTTCTCTGTCTCTGATGGCCCTGAGGGCATTCCTAAGTATCCTCAGGTGTCACAAATAAAGACCTGATTATTTTTTCCCCTTGTGGTTAACTCTATTAGTTTGCAAGAGCTGGTGAATCTGCTTTGTCGGAGCTGGGTGTGTCCATATGGTCTTAACAAGTCCAACCTCTCACTGCACTAATGAAGAAATCAATGAAAGGGCTTCTCAGATAGGCATGATAGAACTAAACTGTTATGCAGTGCCCTTATATTCCACCTCACCTTAAATGATGGATGACTGAGCCAAGGCTCATAGACAAGTGACTTGACTAACTACAAACTCAGAGGCTATGATTGAGATAAACCAGTTATGAAGTTTTCAATCCCTAGGCAATTATCAGTAAGAACTAGGGGACTTTTTCCACAGGACTATATGTGTGCTCCCAGCTTGTTTTGCATGACCCACACAGGTGTATCTTCCCTGCCACAGGGCTTGGGAAGTCAGGATAATCTGGCACTAAGCCAGTACTTTATCTTGTGATGAGGCAACAGCTCCTGTCTAGCCATGTAGCTCATGTGCTTCTCATCACAGTTTGCTAGGGAAGTGATAGGCTCCAATAGCTTTTGCTTTCCATTATGCAGCAGGAGTTTCAAGGCACAGGTAAGCATAACTAGAGACTGAGCTAGGCTAGAACCTAGTGTTTCTGCTAACTTTCCCCATGCACTATCTTCTCCTGCCCCTTTTCCTTATTCTTACTTGGCCCCATTTAACTGCTTAGAATAATTTCAAACAATCTTGAACATTATAAATAGAACATATCTTCATCAACTTGTTGTCCATCTCATTTTGCAAATTGAGTGTCATAGGCCAAGAGCATGAGAGAATGGGTGAATTTCTCCTTTCTCTCAAATTTCTCAAGACACTCCATCACAGAAATTGAGCTCTTTTCTCCCTAGATACCTGAGTACAGGCCTGGGAGAAGAAAAGAGGTACATAACCTCCAGTTCTGAAGAGCCATCTGCTAAACCAGTGGTAGCAAATCTATGGCACACATGTCACAGGGGGCTGTTTGTTATCGTTGTGAGCTCTAAAAGGTTCACCATCGTTACACTAGACCCTGTGGCTCTATTATTGGTAAAGATAGGCACACATGCCTGGCATCTAGCTGCAGAACAGTCTCTCAGAGAGGAAAGTAATCCTGTCCTTGTCCAAGCCACCTCGGGTACTTAGGAAAGCACCTGGGTCTGTCCGAAACAAATTCCTACTCTGAGTACAATGAGAGCCCCCTAGGAAGTGCTTTCAGGGATTTCTTGGGAGAGAAACTCAAGATAGCCTCACTTTGGATCAATTCTTGAGGCCTAATTTTCAGTTCCAAAGATTTATTTTCTAAATCTTAGCAAGGCATCATGGAGGATGATAAAAGGTAGCTAGATACAATAGGTAGAAATTGAAACTGATTAAAATTAATTAATCCTATCCTTTGGGTTATATAATGGTAGCAACTCTTACTTGCTGTAACAAGCTTATTTGATAGATGGGTCCTTTTTGTCGCATAGTTATGTATGAATTTCCTAAAGGAGAAATTGAGATGCCTCAGTTCTTATTCTTAACCTCTGTCTTGCTATTTCAAAATATCCTGAGCAAAGTTCAAACTACCCCAACAAAGAAAGTCCTCAGATGGTATTATCTTTTCCCAAAACCAACCAATCAATTTCACAAACCCAGCATGGCCAACAACACAGAAGATCTGTAAGGCCTAAGGAAAACTTGACTTCCAAGTCCTTCCATGCATTTGGGTAAATTGGTCTGCTTATTGCTCAACTATGAATTATTGCCAAATCCTTGGGGCCTCCTGAGGCCATAGTAAATAGATCAAGTCTTAGCCCTGGCCCTGAGATGACATTTCTGTGCTGGCTGGAAGAGTTGGCTGGCAAAGGAGTAGGGGGGTTCCTCTCTTTGCCTCCAGTTTTGTAAGCTACCTTAATCAAAAGATCAGCTGGGTTTCCAGTGGCCTTTATCTCTGCTGATGGTGGAAAACAATCCCTGGAAAAATACTTTGTTCTTGAGTCATTTTTTTCAGCACCTTAAAAAAACCTAGTGGCTATTCAGTACTCCTGGGCTGGATGTAAGCTCCCAGTAGCTTGGCACCCTTGAAAATCTCCACTGTGTTCTGGGGTGTTCAGTCAAGCCCAGGAGCCCCCAGAGCCATATTATAATGTCTAAGGCACGTGATGTGCCCCACTTCCCAAAGTATAAGGAACCTGGGTGAACACCCAATGGTCTTTTTCTACAATTTACCCCCACAAAAATGAGCATTGGTTCCTTCCCATTTTAAGAAGCTCTAGGTAGAGCTTCCACTGTTGCCCCCATCTAATCACATAAGCCATCTTCAACCTCTGCCCTTTCCTTTTCCCACATCTTACTCGGATCTGAGAGTATCAGCATGTTCTGAACTCAGGTCCTGATCTCTGGACAGTCAGAGGCAGGAGAAAAAGCAGGCATAGCAAGATCCAGTGTAAAAATCAACTTCCTGAAGACCTCACTTTAAAAAAAATCTTGTTGTATTCAGTTAAGTAGAGGCTCTCTTAAAGACTTTGAATCATTCACTGTATGTGTTAGAAGGACTTAAGTATTTAGTCCAGCTGTTCTCTCTGACTGTGATATCCCACCCCATGTAGTTGGTAGAAATGAAAATCTGAAAAAGAAGATGCCATTTGTTATGTGGTCTTAGATGGATAGCAAAACATGACCTTGCGTCTTTGTTCTGCTAGGTTCTCTCCTTCCTGCTTCTGGGCCTGATGTCCATGATGATTCCCCTGTGCCGGAACTTCGGAGGCCTCATCGTTGTCTGCCTCTTCCTGGGCCTGTGTGACGGATTCTTTATCACCATCATGGCCCCCATTGCATTTGAGCTAGTGGGCCCAATGCAAGCTTCACAGGCCATTGGCTACCTACTAGGCATGATGGCCCTACCAATGATTGCTGGTCCCCCCATTGCAGGTGAGGCTGGTTCCCAGAAAGAGCATGAGTCTGGCAGTCTTGTTTTCTCTGGACTCCACCTCTGCTGAGTACCTCTGCTTAAGATTCCTTTTACCCTTATTTTCTGTGTTAGCAACCTGCCCAATGCATGAAACTCCTTATCACCCTGGGTGGAAGACACTGAGCACGTACGCAGGCATGGATTCATTTGGGAGTTGGATTTCCTATAGCTTTATATCTTGCTCTGGGGTTTTACTGTAGAGAGTATGGCTTCTTCCAGGAGAGTACAGAGAAAAATGGATTTGGCCTTCTTAACCAGTCTATTGATTCATGTTTTCTTGCTCTCTTCACAGTCAAGTGATTATTTTCAAGGCAGATGGGTAAAAGAAGTGGGAAAAGAGAAAGTCGGACTTGTTTTCATTAAAATTCAGAGACACCCTGCTCCTCCTTGTCTACCAGCTTTAAAGTTGAGCCTATAGAAGAGATTTGATTAAGAAAACTCTCCAGGGCTGAGCCAGCAAAGCTCACTTAAAATGAGCAGCAAGCAAAGTGTTGAAATACTGTCTTTCTGCATCCCTAGTTTCTCCCTCCACCCTGCCAGAAAGGCATTGTTAACACCCCAGGGAATATAAGGAACAGTAAAATCAATTAAAAAAGAACTTTATTTCCTTTCTAGGGATTTATTACAAACATTGTTTCATGTGGAAGCCTTCCCTAGGCTAGTCAAATGGGCTAAATCAACAAACTCTCCTTGAACACCAATTATGTGTGAATGTTGCAAGGGCACCAATGTGACAGTAGCACCCCTTTCACTCAGGCTCTTGTGCCACAGCTACGCTGCTACTGCTCTCTATCTTGCTCCTTATACCAATAGTGCTCCAGCAGTCACAACTCTTTCTATTTTGCTTACTTCCTGAGTAAGCAAAAGCCCAAGACCTTCTTGCCTTTTCTGGGTAGTGTTTCTACACCTCCCTGTGAGGTACACCATGTTAGCTTCTGGAGGAGAGCAGGGGATGTCTTGCATTACATATAAAACATATCCATGGTATTGGTAGCTTGGAGGAACCCAGCTGTCATATATATATATATATATATATATATATATATATATATATATGGAAGACAGTTTCTTCTCAGGCTAATTGGAACTTGAGAGAAAGGGCATTCAGAGAAAAAGCAAATAAGAACTCAGTTGAATAATTTCACAGATACAATATGGGGGTGAGGTACAGCAAGAGGAATAATACCATGTACCAATACAGGACTTTGCCATCTTCTATGAAGTCCTTTTAAACTCAGTTCCCTCCTAACTCCATTCATGGGAGTGAGTGGAAGATAATGTGGCTTGATGCAAGTCACAAACGCAGAATCTTCTAGAGAAGCTTCTTCAATAATGAACTTTCACCTCAAGGGCCTCTAGAGCCATTACCTTCATTGAATTTGAGGAAGCTTCTGAGTCAGTCCAGTAAAGGTTAAGATTCTCTGGATAGGCACAGGTACAGCCACTAGTTGAGGTCAAACAGCAACTTTGGATGGCAAAGCAAAGCTGAGCTTGGTTTCTGTTTCTTGACTCTTTCAGGCCTCCTCCGCAACTGCTTTGGGGACTACCACGTGGCCTTCTACTTTGCCGGTGTGCCCCCCATCATTGGGGCTGTAATCCTCTTCTTTGTCCCTCTAATGCATCAAAGAATGTTCAAGAAAGATCAGAGGGATTCCAGCAAGGATAAGATGTTGGTTCCTGACCCAGATCCCAATGGGGAGCTGCTGCCTGGCTCCCCCAACCCTGAGGAACCTATCTAATGCCTTTTTTGTTTTAATATCGTGTGCTCCTCCCAGCCCTTCTTCTTCATTCCACCCTGCTCAGCATTTACATTTTTGCCACCAGCATACTTGTTCCCAAACCTGTGCACATAGCATTTCAGCCACCTGACCACCCCCTTGGAGCCAAAACTCTAGGTATTCCAGTCAACCAAATTTTCCCCACGAATGCCTTTTAACCTTCTAGGGCCTTTCTCCCAGGATCTGGGAAGTGTGGGATCATCTTCTGGCCATTGCGATTTCTCCTAAGGGGAGGAGGATGCAACCTCCTGGCCTTACCGTGTTATTCATCCTATAAAATCAGGTGCCAAAGGTGCTAATACACCCCGCAGGAGCTTAGTGGGGGATATCCAAATTTTTATTTGTTGAAGAGCTCATTCCCACTCATCTTTGGGAACCCTTTGGGGGTAGGGATAGGGAGGCCAAAATAATGCAAGTAGCCCCGGTTAACATCAGACTTCCTGAGGCTGTGGCTTCCCAAGAGCTGTGTACAAGGAGTATCCCCATGTTATAGTTGGTTAAAGTCTGCTTCTCTCTTCTTTTAATTTCTCCTTTAGTGCCTCTTCTCTATTCTCTTTTCTTTCTATTTCTTTTTATGACTGACATAGACACATAGGTGCTTGGAGAAAAGAAAGACCCAGAGTTTGGGCCAATCAGCCTCATCTTGGCCCAGTCCACCCCTAACACTGGTGGTAATCCCATTCATCTCAGGCTGAGCCACATCTCACTTTGGGGCACAAGGTGATATAATCATAGACTGGAAAAAGTAAAATATCACCTGCGGAACGGGTTTTAAACAGCATAAAGTTCCATGAGCCACTCACTGATTTTTACAGATTCCCAAAAGCAGTGCACTAACCTTAAGACCTTCCCTTCTTCCCAACCTTGTATCTGTCTGTCAAACTGTGAAGAAATTCCTTTCATCTCAGCAAGAAGAGAACTGATGACGGTGAACTGGCATGGTGAGGGGAGATATTGCGGTTGTTAACATGATGGAGGGCTCCATCTCTCAATTTTCATGACAGATCAATATTTCCACCTGGGACAAGTTAAGAAATGGACTATTTTAGGGGAAAAAACCCATTCTGACCCTGGATGCCAAAAAGGTACAGGCAACAGCCACACATTGGGTTGGACAATTTCTTTTAGGAAGAGGACACTTCCTTAAGCTTTACTACTGAGCATGTCCCCCCATGCTGCTCAGTGTACATAAAGGTGCCAGGGAAGGCAAGCTCTAGACCACCTTCATCCTGCTGAAATAAGTTGCAGATGCTTCTGTATATCCAGACTCTGGACAACAGTCTTATTGAAGAACATTCCAAGTACCTCTGGCTAAGGGCAAGAGGGCACTGTGAGGCTGTGTTCAGCTAGCACAGTCTCTCTCTCTCTCTCTCTCTCTCTCTCTCTCTCTCTCTCTCTCTCTCTCTCTCTCTATCTCATTGTGTCTCTTTATTCCCCCTCTGGGCTTTGGGCTTTCTCAGTCATTCTGTTCCTGTCACCCAACCTTCTATTAACTTTTTGCCAGGAATCCCCAGCTGTGTTATTGAGTCAACAGTAAATTGCTACCACAAACCAGGGTTACAATGGGGCCAGGATGGTATCTGCCAGAGGGGCTCCAAAAATCATAACAACCCCCACACATGAGCTTTTCCATTACAAACAGGCAGCTGGGGGCATAGATGGCCTTATGATTTCACTCAAGGCCAAAGTCCTGAGTCCCTCTCTGCTGGTCCAAGTCCAGCTCTTATCTACTCCCCAAATGAAAACCCACTGATGCTTGTCTGTGGGCAGGAAAGGGCCTAGTTACTAGCCTATCTGCTCAAGCATTAGTGAAACAGGAGGAGATAGGATCCAGAAGCCCTTTAACTCCCAGGAAAAACCACTGAAAATGCTGGAGCAACAATGCCCTTGCTTCAATCCCTCCCCATCCCACCCCCACTGAGTCACTAGAGGGAGGTTCCATAGGGCCTCCTTTGTTGATCCTGGCAGGTTAGTTCTTAAGAATCAGGCTGCCACCTACTTCTCTCCAGATGAAGGAAAGACATTCACAGGTCCCAAATCTGCCCATTCAGGTGTCACATAACACTGGCAGAGTTTTCAGTTTACTTCTTCCACACACGTCCATGTGCATGTGTGGGCTTGTATGCCTTTGGAGAGAATGTTGGTTGGCAAAAGCAGCACAGTATTAATATTTAGAGTAGGATGCAGCCTTCTATGCACCACAGTTACATTTAGGAGAACGAACAAAAATGCTGGAGCTTGAGACCTGGCACATTTAAATCCTCAAGGGGTTTGGAACAAAATAAACCGATCTAAAAGTCTGGCGTGAGTATATATGTTGCTTACAAGGGTATAATGGTCTTAACCTGGTTAACAGCAGAAAGTTTGGCTTTATAAATAAACTCTGGGGAGATAGGCCAGTGGAATAAGTGTTTGCCTGGTAAGGGCAAGGTCCTGAGTTCAGTCACTGGCACCACAAAAAGAAAGAAAAAGAAAGAAAGAAAGAAAGAAAGAAAGAAAGAAAGAAAGAAAGAAAGAAAGAAAGAAAGAGAAAAAGAAAAGAACTGAAGTCTCATTCCAAATCAAAGTTTTGAGAGAGCAAATTTCCCTGTGAGAGCAGACAATGGTAGAGGAGTTGTATAAGGGTTTAGGTTTGGGTGGACAATGTGAGATTGCATTTGTAGGGAGCTCTGAAGTAGAAAATGGATGACTTTACCATATGAGAAAATGGCTGCTGAGTGAGTTGGAGAGGAGGCCTCCCCAGGGCTAACACCTTATTGAAAAAGGGCCACTCTGAAAGTTGGAAAAAGCCTTAGCAGCAGTACAACTCAGCTCCCTCTCGTCCTGTGTTGCTATTGATGGAGAACATGAAAGTATCACAACAACAGAGCCTGAAATGAAAGGTGATCCAGGAGAAAGACCTTCCGAAATGACAAAGTAAGGAATAATCTCAGAGTTCCACTGTTCTACATTCTGCATTCCCTTAAAGTGGCAAAACTGAGGACTAGAAAAAGGAATGGAATGCTACAGACTCGCACAGCTCATGAGCGACACAGCAATCTGAGTCCTGAGCTCAGGTGACTGACTTCCAGCCCATTCCAAACCCTTGCTTTATAGATAAAGAAACCAAGCCCAGCAGGAAGAAGGGATTCGCTCACCTCATTAAACAACCAGATAGCAAGCCCTTTTCCAAAACAGTGTCAGCAAGACTAGGTCTAAGGAAAAATAAAAGCAGAGCAAAGTCTGCCTTTCAGCAGACCCCATAGCTTCATGATTATTTTCACTCCTGACCTTATGATGAGCTTCACTGCCAATCAGCACAGTTTTTTTGGTATTCTTTGTCCCAGTCACTCTAGACCTTCATGAAGCCTTGAGATCTGGTTCTACCAACTGTCCTTCCACTCCCAGCAACCTGTGAGGTACAAATAATACCTGTTTCTCTGACTGGACACTGTGCAGGGCAAAGATAATGAGAAAGGACCAGTTTCATTTTGGAGAAGATGGTTGATTATCTCTGCTCCGTTGTTTCTCCCCACTCAGTGCACACACCTTCAGGATACAGAAGTCCTCATCTCGTCCCACTGAGCTAATTATTCTGTTCCGCTGCCATCCCCCAGGCTCCCCCCTACCCCACATTACAGATGCCCTCGGTCCCTCTCCCAGCAGCCCCAGGATCTAGTCTATATTTGATCACTCATGATCTTCAGATTTCCCAGCTGTAAAATCCCATAACTTTTATGAGCATGTGGTTTCCTCCAGGGCCTTTTCCTATCTGAAAAGGTAGCCATCAACTTCTTGCCGCGTCTTCACAGTAGAGCAGGCCAACTGACAGAAACCCCCAGTGCCTGCTCTGTGCCTGGAAAGCATTGATGCCGCTAGTAAGAGAGCTGGAAATTCTATTTTTATTTTTTGCTTTTTAAAGAGAATGAAAAATAGTTTTTAAAAAATTAGAAATTCTAAAGCTAAAAGGTAGCAGGACCCCAGAAAACAAGCAAAGGAATTAGATACCTAGATCCCAAAGGGGTTGAGGAGGCCCTGCTTCAAAGGCCACGCTGATCCCTGCCTTGCAGCTCCCTCTAGCGGTCACCAGAAGCTGTGTATCAGGCACTCTGCCAGGACCCAGAGACTTGAGGAATGAAAGGGATCAGAACTAGACAATAGCGAGAAGAATGAGAATCTACACTGTCTTCTTTCCAAGGTATCTTTCCTCCTCTGGACCCCAGTGGCCTGAAATACAGGTACCTCCTCCATTGTAAGGGCAGGATGCAGGCCAATAGGCCCTCACCTTGGGACAGTAACTGCCGCAACCCCGCCCATCTCCACTCGCCGCCCCTGGGCTCCTTGAGGCCAGAGTCGCCCAGAAGAACAACGCACGACTCAGTGTCAGTTTCCTGCTGAGCTTGGGCCAGATAAAATTAGCCCATGGCTCACATCTAACAACTGTCAGAGCCCACAGGCTGGTCCAGCTGGGCTTGGGCTTGGGGTTGGGGGGTGGGGGATGATGGCCACTTTCCAGCCCGCCTCCCTGCCTGCACCCGGCCAAGGAGTGGGCAGCACCTCTGGCACCCGGCCCACCCCAACCCCAATCCCACCCCTACTCTGGCCCAAAACTTCCCTCCAAGCCCCTACTGCTGCCAGACATCTAGGAACCCGCAGGGCGCCCTCCACCCTCCTTGCCTCTCCTGCCGCGCACCCAACCTGTGTGCCTCCCCAGCACTGCGTCCTGGGATCCAGGGCTGGAGGTACTGATCCGTAGCATCTCTCCCCCCACCCGCCCGCCAGCTCACGCCCACCCACCCTGCACTCTAAGAATGCGTGGGGGTGCAGACGGGGCTGGGAGGCCAGGCTCTGGCTGTGGCTCTCGGCCTTGGCTGTAGCTCCACTGGCCCCAGTGCACGACGGGCGGGGGACTGGGTTTCCTGCCCCTCCACGGGCTTCCCTCCATTTCCGGGTCTAGGAAGGGTGACAGCCCCCGGAGGCACAGCTGTCCCCATCGCTCAGGGCAGGCCCACCCCGCCCAGGGCAAGGAGGCGGGAAGAAAAGTGGGAGGAGCCAGCCTTGCCCCACCAACAGTCTGGCTAGCCCGTGTCGCCCCACGGCTCGGGTCCTACTCAAACCCTCGTCCCTCCGCTTGGTCCAAGACACTGCCACCTGGGTTTGCAGAGGCAATGGCCTCTCCGCCCCAGCCCTCAGGGTGATAAGGCCTGGCCTGCGGAGAATCCTTGCAGAGGCCCCTTCCTCCCTCCCTCCTGCTGAAAGCACCATCCCCATCCCCAGGGTCCCAAGGATGAGAGACCCTGCTACTGCCAGCACAGGGCCCACCTAAGTGAGTCCAGGCTGCTGGCTGGCCAGCATGAGCGGTCTGGGGGAGGTAAAGGCCTCCAGGCAAAGCTACTGCTCCACCCTCACCCTGACACCCACCTGCACCCTCCTCTCCAGCCTCCAGCCCTGGACAGCCTCCACACAGGTCAGCCCAGTGGTGCTGCTTCTGCCAAAGAACACACACACACACACACACACACACACACAGACACACACACTCCACCACCACCAAGCTTCCAGCAAAACAGGAACAGAGACCTGGGGTTGTGGTTCAGTGGCAAACAGCCTGTGCTTATGGACCAGCGCCAGCCCAAACAATCTGTCCCCCAGCTTTGGGGGTCAGCCTCCCTGATGGGAGCTCCCAGCTCAGGCCTGCTCCCCTATGGCACAGTTTAGGAATCTCCCCCAAGGAGAAGGAGATTCCCTGACAGCTGCCTGTGAAGACACAGGTGAGCTAGCAAATTTCTGAGGCTGGAGAAACCTCCTCCAAACCTGGGGGAGCCTTGGTAACAGCGAGGCCTACATTGTCTCCTCCAGCCACCTGCCCACTGGATTGGCTCCCCATGCCTATTCTGCCCCCACTGGAAGGTTCTGGGCAGAGTGGCACCGCAGCCCCAAAATGAGGCACAAAGTTCAGCAAAAGCTGACTTAGATCCCTTGTGTACAGCTTCTTAGCTCCGCTTCTCCCATGCAGGGCACATGGAAAAGGACTTAGAACTCTCTGGTCTGCCTTTCTTTTAGAGCAACC